AAATTCCTCCCAAAACTCCCCCACCTGCAGCACCCCGAAGGTGCACTGGGAGCCCACACGGACGAGGAGCCGAGTGGTGCTTTGAAGGACCATTTCCCCTCCAAAAAATGGGTTTTTTTCCCCCAAAAAAACCCCAAATTTCCTCCTAAATCCCCAAATTTCCACCTAAACCCCCCAAAATTCCTCCCAAACCCCCCAAAATTCCTCCCCAAAGCCCCCCCACCTGCAGCACCCCGAAGGTGCACTGGGAGCCCACGCGGACAGAACAACCAAATTCTGCTTTGAAGGACCATTTCCCCTCCAAAAAATGGGGGTTTTTTTCCCCAAAAAACCCCAAATTTCCACCTAAACCCCCCAAAAACCCCCCAAACCCCCCCACCTGCAGCACCCCGAAGGTGCACTGGTAGCCCATGCGGACGAGGCAGCGCAGGGTGAGTTTGAGCACCATGGAACGCTTGAAGGACACGAAATTCCGGACGTTTTCCAGCAGGAAGAAGCGGGGCCGGTAATAATCACAGTAACTAAACCCCCAAAAAAGGAGAAATAAAACATCTCAGGAGGGAATTGAGGGGGTTCTCCCACCCCAAAAACATCCAAAAAGGGGTGAAAACCCCTTTTACTACCCCCAAAAGAAGAAATAAAACATCTCAGGAGGAGTTATGGGGGTTCTCCCACCCCAAAAATACCCCCTTGGGTGGGGGATTTAGGGATGGGAAACCCCAGAAGGGAGAAATAAAACATCACAGGAGGGGTTAAGGGGGTTATCCCACCCCAAAAACACCCAAAAATGGGCTGAAAACCCCCATTTTTTTTGATCTCACCTGAGGATCTGGGGGTTCTCCCACCCCAAAAACAACCCCTTGGTGGGGATTATGGGGTTCTCCCACCCCAAAAACACCCAAAAATGGGTTGAAAATCCCAATTTTTCATGCTCACCTGGGGATTATGGGGGTCTCCCACCCCAAAAACACCCCCTTGGTGGGGATTATGGGGGTCTCCCACCCCAAAAACACCCCAAAAATGGGTTGAAAACCCTATTTTTGGTGCCCACCTGAGGATCTGGGGGTTCTCCCACCCCAAAAACACCCCAAAGTGGGTTGAAACCCCCCATTTTTCGTGCTCACCTGGGGATTATGGGGTTCTCCCACCCCCAAAAACACCCAAAAATGGGTTGAAAACCCCCATTTTTCGTGCTCACCTGAGGATTATGAGGTTCTCCCACCCCAAAAACACCCCCTTGGTGGGGATTATGGGGGTCTCCCACCCCCAAAAACACCCAAAAATGGGTTGAAAATCCCCCTTTTTTTTTGATCTCACCTGAGGATCTGGGGGTTCTCCCACACCAAAAACACCCCCTGGGTGGGGATTATGGGGTTCTCCCACCCCAAAAACACCCCAAAAATGGGTTGAAAACCCCCATTTTTCGTGCTCACCTGAGGATTATGGGGTTCTCCCACCCCAAAAACACCCCAAAAATGGGTTGAAAAACCCCCTTTTTTTTGATCTCACCTGAGGATCTGGGGTTACTCACCCCAAAAACACCCCAAAATGGTTTGAAAATCCCCATTTTTCGTGCTCACCTGAGGATTATGGGGGTCTCCCACCCCAAAAACAACCCCTTGGTGGGGATTATGGGGCTCTCCCACCCCAAAAACACCCAAAAATGGGTTGAAACCCCCCATTTTTCGAGCTCACCTGAGGATTATGGGGGTCTCCCACCCCAAAAACACCCCCTTGGTGGGGATTATGGGGTTCTCCCACCCCAAAATGAGCGAAAAACCCGATTTTTGGTGCCCACCTGAGGAAGGAAACCACGAGGGAGTTCTTGAACTTGGAGTAGGTGCGGGAGTTGAAGCGGTTCATGCCGATTAAAAACCCCCTTTTTTTGATCTCACCTGAGGATCTGGAGGTTCTCCCACCCCAAAAACACCCCAAACCATGTTTAAAACCCGATTTTTGGTGCCCACCTGAGGAAGGAGACGACGAGGGAGTTCTTGAACTTGGAGTAGGTGCGGGAGTTGAAGCGGTTCATGCCGATTAAAAACCCCCTTTTTTTGATCTCACCTGAGGATCTGGGGTTCTCCCACCCCAAAAACACCCCAAAGTGGGTTGAAAACCCCCATTTTTCGAGTTCACCTGGGGATTATGGGGTTCTCCCACCCCAAAAACACTCCAAAATGGGTTGAAAACCCCCATTTTTCATGCTCACCTGAGGATTATGGGGGTCTCCCACCCCCAAAACACCCCAAAACACGTTTAAAACCCGATTTTTGGTGCCCACCTGAGGAAGGAAACCACGAGGGAGTTCTTGAACTTGGAGTAGGTGCGGGAGTTGAAGCGGTTCATGCCGATTAAAAACCCCCTTTTTTTGATCTCACCTGAGGATCTGGGGGTTCTCCCACCCCAAAAACACCCAAAAATGGGTTGAAAACCCCCATTTTTGATCTCACCTGGGGATCTGGGGGTTCTCCCACGCCAAAAACACCCAAAAATGGGTTGAAAACCCCCATTTTTCGTGCTCACCTGAGGATTATGGGGGTCTCCCACCCCAAAACCACCCAAAACCATGTTTAAAACCCGATTTTTGGTGCCCACCTGAGGAAGGAAACCACGAGGGAGTTCTTGAACTTGGAGTAGGTGCGGGAGTTGAAGCGGTTCATGCCGATTAAAAACCCCCTTTTTTTGATCTCACCTGAGGATCTGGGGGTTCTCCCACCCCAAAAACACCCCAAAATGGGTTGAAAACCCGATTTTTGGTGCCCACCTGAGGAAGGAGACGACGAGGGAGTTCTTGAACTTGGAGTAGGTGCGGGAGTTGAAGCGGTTCATGCCGCTGAAGCCCTGGCAGGGGGGGCCCCCGCACAGCATCTCCACGTCCCCCTTCTGGGGCAGCTTCTGGCCCAGCGAGTTGGTCCTCTCGCCCCCCATCACCAGCTTGAGCAGCACGTTGCAGTCCTCGGTGAACACCGTGGCCCCGGGGTTGTTGAGGCGGAAGGCCTGGGCGGCGGGTTCCC